GCCTTCACCTTCCTCAGGCTTCTGTATCTGCATCTTTACTGCTCTACCAGGGATAAAAAGTTCATGCTGCTACCAAAGGCCCATTGCTGCTGCCTCTGCCCATTACCCACGGACTCTGCTGCTGTCATAGCCATGAGCCTTTGCTGATTTCAGTGTCTTCCTCTCTGCCATAGCATGTACAGTCATGTTGTGGTTCTCCCACTTCTAAGAATTCTTTCTTGATCCTCCTTGTCCTCCTGCAGCTACCAGTCCATTTGTCCGGTCCCTTACAGAAAATTTTCCCAAAAGAGTTGTCTGTAATCTCAGTTTCTACTTCCTCTGCTTTCTTTCCTCCATCCAGCTTCTTTCCCTGGTACTATGTGGACAGTACCACTGTCCAGGTCACCCATGTCCTCCTTGTTGCCAAATCCAGCTTTTTCTCCTTTGTTCTTGACCTTCCAGCAGCACTGACCATGATTAAGCCTCCTGTCCACTGCAAACATTGTCCTGTGGTTTTTCAGACACTGCTGACCTCACTGGCCTCCTTTGCTGGCTCTTCTCCCCAGCTTGTTTGTAGTGTCAGTGTCTGGTAGCTTCATACTTAGATTCTTCCCTTCTCCATCTCTGTTCAGTCCTTTGGTTCTCTTGTAAAACCACTGGCAGTTTAAAGCAGTCTGTCCAATGTAGTGACATCCAAACAGCTCTAGCCCTTCAGACTTGCCTCCCAGCTGTACATTGCCCATCTTCACTTGGGTGTCGTGGGACCTATCCAGTGATCACATCCCAGTGTGAACTCTTGATTTCCTTACCTCCTCCCAACTTTTTCCTCCATTCCCCTTCTCCATTTCAGGAACTGCCACCATCATCCTGTTCTCCCCGTTCAAACTAAAAAGCCCAGGCAAGAATTCTTTTGGATTCTTCATTTCCCTCATCCCCTCTAATCCATGAGCAAGTTCTGCTTGTCAGCCCTGCTTTGGAGCACCGCTTGACTTCTCCCTCTCCACCTCCATTCATCTTTGCCTAGTGGATTGACAGTTTCTTGTCTTGTCTCCCAGCCTTGCCTTCAGTTCCCCTAGATTTTTTCTCTCCACACAGCCTATTTTTAAAATATAAGTCAGATCATACTATCCTTTCATTTAAAATCCTTCAGTAGCTTCCTGTTGAAGGAGGCTTACAGCGTAAGGCCTCTCCTGCCTCTCTTACCTCAGCCTGAGTCACCATCGTTGCCCACCCTTATGCTACCAGCCTTGTTCCTTCAGCAGCCCAGGTTTATTCCTGCCCGGGGCCTTCATTCCTGCTTTGCCCAGGAAGCTTCTGTCCCAGGTCCTCAGAGTTTCATCCAGGGTTTCAACCCCAAATCATTTCAGCTCCCCCCAGGAGAGTTGTATTCTGAAATAAAATAGCCCCTTCACCCTCTCTTTCATCAGTCACTCTCTGACGTTATTCTGCTTTCGTTTCTTCACTGCATCTATTGCAAAATGAAATTATTTTGACTATTTTCTTGCTTATCAGTCTTTGTAAAAATGTAAATTAGAGACCTTATTTTTATCTTGTTCATTGTATCCTCATTATACCTATAATAGTCACTTATATGTCGTAGATGTTTATTATTGAGTAAAATGTGTTCATGTTGCTTCCACCATTTCAGGGGCTATCTTTTCTCTGGAGAATCAGCTCCAAGTTCCTTAGTGGTTTTTGAGTCTCTCTGCCCCCTACTTACTCTAACATGCTGCTTCTCAGCTAGAGGCAAAACTGTGCCCCCATCCTGCCCCAGAATATGTGACAGTATCTGGGCACACTTTTGGTTGTCATCTGTCATCTAATAGATAGAGGTAAAAGATACTGCTAACCATTCTGCACTGCGTAGGACACTTGCTCACAATCACCTGGTCTAAAATGTCAGTCGTGCGACAGTTGAGTCCACCTGTGTCTGTCTTAGCCATCTGTCACACTTGAAGATCTGTAGGCCCAGGAGGCTGCATTCCTCCTTAGCCTCTGAGCCTTGCACTTGTCTCTACCTGAGCAGTCTGTTTTACACCTCTGGTCCCCACTGCTGATGCTATTCTTTGCCTAGATGGAGTCTGGGGGCAATTAAAATTTAACTTTTACAACACAGAGTTAATCTGTTTTGGCAGTTTTTCCTGTTAAAGTTAATTTTAGTTTTTATCTCAAGTTGAAAGTAACTTCCATGCACAAACATAATCTTCTTATCACCTGATGTCATCTGGAGAGGGTAAGCAAAGCTGTTGTTTTTGAGAACTACAGTATGATTTACTTAATCCAAGCACAGAGAGCAGGGTGAATTCATTAAATGGCATCTATGCAATCTATGGCCATAAAGTTTCAGATAGGATCTAGGATATTTGGATACACAGTAATGAATTTTCATTTTTTTTCATTATTGTGCTATATTAATATATTTCCTTTTTAAAATAACTAATACAAGTGACTTTTTAGCATTGCATCAAAAAAAATACATTTAGGGCTGGGAGTGTTATCAGTAGTAGACCACTTACCTGGCATATATAACAGCCTGGGTTTGATTCCTAGCACCTCAAGGGGAAAAAAAAGTAGAAAAATGCCTTTAAAGAACAAAAATGCAATTTGGGTAATTTATTTATGTGAAAGCTAACATTGCAGTTCATCTTACAACATATAATTCCATAAGTGAGAGTTCTTCCTAGTGTTGCCTTTTGAACTGATGTTCTTCCTTGGCACCAACTGGAAGGCAGACTTCATGGCCCTGCTTTGTTCTTTCCCCGCCATTCACAGTGCCACTGACAAAAGGAAATCCCTCCGTGCTGTGGGATTTGGAATGTCCCCACCCCAGGGATTACTGTAGTATCTACTAGCAACAGAATTATGGTCCACTCATTTATCTTAAAACTACAATTTGCATTTTATGGTTCTCAAATCATAAAACTTTTTAAATAGTTATGTTTCCATGATGCTCTCTTTGCTTTCAGATCAGCTTATAATGTTAATTAACACTGCTTTTATTGCATCTTTTTTTTCCAAATCAAAGGTTTCCTTGATTTTAGATTCCTTATTTTAAGAGTTCCAAAAAACAAAACATTATAAATAACTTTAGAGGATAAAAATATTCTCTGTCATTGCATATTTATTTTACTGTGTTTCTAGCACTGTCGATTTTGTTATTTTGTGTTTTAACTTAGTAAAGGTTGGAGAATGCTTGCTTGGCTCTGAAAATACAATAGTTGAGGAATTTTTTAGCTTATCCACAGCTTTACAGTATTTGAAATTTATGCATCAGCCTTACTATTCCAAACAGGCATCACTTTTGCCCATTTTTATTCATGTCTGTTGTGAGAACCCTAGCACAATAGGTTCTCTGTCCCTGCCTTTCCATCTTACTCATTTCTTAGTCCTCTCTCTAGCTGAACTCAAGTCTATAGATATTTACTTATCCTTTTCTACCCTTGGCATTTACTAAATTCATGTGCAGAGTTCTAGAAGACCAGGCATATGCTGGTGAATAAGGGTGATCCCTCCTAGAATGACACATTCTTCAATGTTTTACATTTAGTTGTATATGATAAATCCTACATTGGAGAAAGGTACAAAGTATAACAGTGGTAATAGAATTTTAAAAGGCCATTCTGCTTTGACAGTTGGCAAAGAACTGTGAGAGGATGAAATATTGGGACCAGACTCTCATAGAAAAGGAAGGAGGGGGGCTGGTGATTCCAGGTAGAAGACACAGAGTGACTGAGTTGCAGCCATTCTCCATCCAGAAACATGCCGGCTGTCTTGCTTTCCTGCTTTCTCCATACTTAAGGTGTGATCCTGCCATCAGCGGTAATACTCCACTACATTTTGAATAGATAATTTGAGTTTGGCTTTCAGTTCAAAAGGAATAATGAGCCATGTAAGATAGCCACTAGGGAGCTGTCTGGCTTTTCACATCTTTGAGTAGACCTAAATCTACTCTGGAGGTCATATACATCTATATTATTGTAATTTTTTAAACACTGCTTTGTTTGAGGTATTTTCATTTTGGAGAGGTTTTCCCTCTCAAAATTGACTTAGTGTGGCTAAGGGGAAAGAGTGAAGAGGGAGCTATCATCAGATTTCTGAAGAGATTCAAACTCTAGGAAGAAAATTACTTTAGAAGAAGCCATCCAGCTAAGAGTCTTTATGTCCTTGAATTTCATGCTCAAAAGCACTTATCCTGGAAAATTACTTGACTGGTCAAAGGAATCATTATAGCAAGAAGGTGGGAACAGTCATCAGGTTAAAACATTTCAAGTGGGAACTGGGATTTTAAAAATGATAGCTATCCAAAGTTAGTCTTTTTTTTTAAAGGATCCCTGTAAAATGTTGGCTATTGGTCAATAAAGATTATTTTTTAAAATTTGTTTTTAATTTGATGATAGCTACTGGACGTCTCCTTGTGGGGAAAATTCATATTTCCGGTAATACAGGAAACAAGAGTACAAGAAGACTGCAAGGACCCCTCTCAGTGGCATACTCTCCTCAGCCCTCACCAGCTTCTTTGCTTACTGTTCCTCTCTTCCTGGACTGCATTTCGGTGATAGGAAGAGTGATAATAGCTTTTCAAATCCTGAATATAAATGATCGATTTTGTCAGGATTCAATATCATAAAATGAAACTCCTGCTGATTATGAAAGTGGTAGGTGTACCAAGAAGCCCCATTCTGGGCGAGCATAATGTTGTCTTAGAACAAGAGGCAGCAGTTTGGGCAATCATTACATGGTCAGAGTTGTCGATAAGTTGGGAGAAAGGAGCATTTGGGCTGTTGTAGTTTATTGGGTTTATCAGGGTGTGCATTTTGCCAGATGTGAAGTTAACAGTTCCTTGGAAATTTGAAAGGAAATAGTTCACAAGGACTGGGCATAGTGGTGCACGCCTGTAATCCCAGCATTTGGGAGGCAGAGGCAGGAGGATCGCCTCAAGTTTGAGACCAGCCTGGGCTACATGGTGAGTTCAAGCCCATCCTGAACTATGTAGCAAGACCCTGTCTCAGAACGACAAAAAAAAAAAAAAAAAGTTCACAAGGCTGCCCAGAAAAATGCAAAAAAGCTAAGACATATTGATGCCACTTTGTACTAGCAAAGTAACTTTATTTCACTACTTAAGCCAATAATCTGATTTATTTATCGATTAAAAATCTATCATTTCAAAAATATTTAAAAGATTAATAGAGGGCTACGAGATCATCTTTCTACTTGAGAAGTTATTCTTAAAGGAGACTGGATCACAGGCTTTGCTTTGGTATGACAAAGAAGGGACGCGTTCTCCCAGTGAGTATTCATTATTCCAGTAAAACGCAGGCTGCCCCTTGCCCTGTTGTTAAGCACTCGCTGATTTCTCCTGTGTAGGTCATGTGAAGGTAGTGAAATCCTTCCTTAAATAAAAGGCGCTTCAGCTAGTTACACTGGAAGACAGGAACCCATTTATTCCACGATGCTGGGAAATGGTGCGGGAGACTACTGGCAAACAAAATACTGTATGTGCACCTTTGCATGATAAGCTTTAACGTTATTTTCATCTGTAGTTGATAGAAGCAGTCTCATTTGGCATGCAGAGTAAGAGTAGAAAAGTAATAATACCAGGAATCTGTTGGGCTGTTACATATGTTAAAAACAGAAGCGATTACCGGATTGTAAAACTAACTCCAGAGTTCACTTTCTGGAGAGGAAGCCTCTGAACTGACCTAACGACCTAACGAGCGTCAGCCGCAGTCAGCAAGGCCCGGCAGGGGCCCAGGCAGCCGCGGGGGCGGGGTGGAGATCCGAAGTTGCGTCTGCGCAGTACAGCGGTACAGTTCAACGGTCGACGGCTTCTTTGTTTTATGCCTCTACCATCTTGCTCGTGGGTTTGCTACCGCCTTCCTCTAGTCCCTTCCACCATCTCTTGAGTGAACAGCCATGAGCTGCGCTGCAGCCGTTCTGCGGGCCATCCAAAGAGCAAGTACAGCGGGGATGAGCTTCTGGATCTCAGGGAAGGCTCTGCGGCCCCGTCAGGCGGTGCATGTCCTCTTCAGCGGACCCTGGACCTTCACACCTGTGTCCAAGATGGCAACTGTGAAGTGTGAGCTTATGAAGAATTTCACCTCGGAAAAGCCTGTTTGTCACAGTAAAGTCTCCATTATAGGAGCTGGATCCGTGGGCATGGCCTGTGCTATCAGCATCTTGTTAAAAGGCTTGACTGATGAACTTGCCCTTGTGGACCTTAGTGAAGATAAACTGAAGGGTGAAGTAATGGATCTTCAACATGGCAGCCTTTTCGTGAAAATGCCAAATATTATTTGCAGCAAGGATTACCATGTCACCGCCAACTCCAACCTAGTGATTATCACAGCGGGTGCGCGCCAGGAAAAAGGAGAAACACGCCTCAATTTAGTTCAGCGAAATGTGGCCATTTTTAAATTAATGATTACCACTATCGTGCAGTACAGCCCCCACTGCAAACTGATTGTTGTTTCCAATCCAGTGGATATCTTAACTTATGTATCCTGGAAACTGAGTGCGTTTCCCAAAAATCGTGTTATTGGCAGTGGTTGTAATCTGGATACTGCTCGTTTCCGTTTCTTAATTGGGCAAAAGCTTGGTATCCACTCTGAAAGCTGCCATGGGTGGGTCCTTGGAGAGCATGGAGATTCAAGTGTTCCTGTATGGAGTGGAGTGAACATTGCTGGTGTCCCTCTAAAAGATCTGAACTCCGCAATAGGAACTGGTAAAGATCCTGAGCAGTGGGAAAACGTTCACAAAGAAGTAATTACCAGTGCCTATGAAATTATTAAAAGGAAGGGTTACACTTCTTGGGCCATTGGCCTATCTGTAGCTGATTTAACAGAAAGTATTTTGAAGAACCTGAGGAGGACACATCCAGTTTCCACCATAATTAAGGGCCTCTACGGAATAGAAAAAGAAGTATTCCTCAGTGTTCCATGTGTCCTAGGAGAAAATGGTATAACAGATCTTATAAAGATAAAGCTGACCCCTGAAGAGGAGGCCCATTTGAAAAAGAGTGCAGAAACACTTTGGGAGATTCAGAAGGAGCTTAAGTTTTAAAATCCAAAGCCATCATTCTGAAGTTATTGAAGATAAGATAGTAGATAAGTGATTGTACTGTGTATGCCAGCATTTTAGATAAATTTGAATTCGTGAAAGTTGAAAGAGTCCCCTGTTTACTTAGCTCTCCATTTTAAAAATTTAGCATCTTGATGCTGATGGTACTTACCTTTTTACAGTTCTTAAGTGACTGCATCTAAGAAAATACCTAGTTACTCCAGTGTACTATTACTTGCATTATAAGTCTAGTAGGTGCCATCTGGTCTAAAAATAAATAGGATGTTAGTGTGTTCTAATTTTCATTAAATAGGTGCTGATTCTTTCTGGGTTGCTTATAGCTATGTTCATTTATGTACCATTAAAAAAGTTGTAATTTTCTTTACAGTGTAAAAATAAAAGTATATACACAAAAAAAGTGGTTTTTGTAATGGATCCATCTTGAGGCTGCCTTCATACCCAGGGACACACGTCACACAGTGGGGCTGAGGCTGCGTATAGGTTGTATGTATATGCACACCTTTAAAGCTGCATTATTTGGGTTAAGATATGAAAATAATAGTGATCAGATTGTAGCTGTTAACGTTTAATGCAATAAAGTACAAAACTTTAGAAAGAAGCCTGACAGATGGTAGTGACACTGATTTGGCAAGGAAAGGAAACATCCCTAAATTTTGCATTCACCAAAAATAAAATCTGATTTAGTAAAAACATTTTAGAACTGCCCCTGAGAACTGAACCTGTTATGTTCGTTGAATCAAGAAACATTACAAATTGTTCTTATTGAGCTAGGTCTTAGCAGTACTGTGGGCCTTGGCTGTTACAGGCTCCAGGGCCATCCCTGCTGCTCAATTTACTTCATGGTGATAGAAAGCTTTTGCTTTTGCATTGTGCCCTATTGTTAATTGTGTTAAGAATTGGGCCACTTAATGAGTACTTGAAGGATTGTATTCTCAGAAAATTAGTTCACTTTTTTTCCTAAATCAGTTGACTTCACTATAAATTCTAGAATTTGTAGATGTAATCCAATAAGAATTTAGGAGAAAGTAAAGATGCTTTTACTTGAATAGTACTGGTACTAATAACTTAGAAAATGGGAAACTTGAGATTTTAAAATGCATGTTAGCTTTCCTAAAACCACTGAGTACTTAAATTAATATAGTGTGTTCAGACACATCTTTGGATTCTTGTGCATATCAACAGGCTGTCTGCATTTGCACTGTAAATCAAGCCAGTGCTTCTTAGTTGAATGTTATCAAATAGACATAAGACAATAATCTTTTAATTAAAAATGTCCCTTTACATGCTAGTTAGAGCTCTTATACTACAGTATTTTACTGAAACTAAAAATGTTCCGGAAAAAAAAGTTCTGATTCTCCAAGGAACATTGGCATATAAAGGGACTAACTGATGTACTGAGTTCCCTGGAAGTGGAAAGGGTGATGGTTCAGTTGTTCTGGGTGGTTGTGAAGTTTTTAGAGCTTACTTGCAGAATTCCTATTCCTTCCTATCTGGCTCTTGAGATTTTTTTCACTTTGTTTTCAACCAAATGGTACTACAAAGGACATGAGAGTGTGCTTACATCTATCTTATAATTCTCACCATCTTTGTTAGCGAAGATAGACTGAGTTAGGCTGCAGTGAAAAACAGTCTCCAGCTTGGCATGGCTGGCCCACACCTGAAATGCCAATACTTTGGGAGGCTGAAGCAGAAGGATCATCAGGTCTAACCCACCCAGTCAGCTCAGCAAGACCCTGTCTCAAAAAATAAAAACTCGGCTGGGTATATAGGTTAATGCAAAGGCCCAGGGTTCCATCACCTGTACTGGCGGCAAAAAAAAAGCCCTCCTTAAACACACATTATGGGGTAAAGCACCTCTCTTGGGAAGGTAGTCTCCGTATGCTGGGTCAGCACCCCAGGTTACTTTGATTGTGAGGCACTGCTCTAGAAACACAGGTTTCCAGGTTTGCAGTGGAAAGAGACCAGAGGCCTAGAGAATCAGACTCCTGCAGTTAAGCGCTTAGCCTGGAAGTGACACATTTCTTTTGCTCATATTCACTAGTCACAAGGTTATATAACTTTAAGGAGGTAGGAAAGTATACTCCTCTGATCTCCAGAAGTATATGAATACTTGGGAAGCAATCAGTAATATAGCTTATCATACAGTTCAAAATGACCACCATTATAAGGGGTATCTATTATTTGCATCTTCAGTCATTTTTCAGGGAACCCTGGCACAGTAAAAGTTTTAGAGGCATTTTGTCTTTCCTGACTATAGAACTGCAGTGCTGAAGTGGGTGTGGGGGAATCCTGTACATAGGCAGTTGTACCCATGAGCTGTGTCACTGTGGACCAGTTAACCTCTCTGACCTCCGTTTTCTTATAGATAAAATGGTGGTCATAATTTCTGCCATAGAGACTTGTGAAGATTAAGTAACAACACAATGTTTTTCAGTGCCTGATACATGAGATCCCAAATAGTTCACATTATTATTCTGTTCAGTTTATTGTTACAACCTTACTATATCTTTTTCTCCTGGAATTAGTTTTATATGGTCTTATTCTGTTCTATTTTATGGAATTGAATTAAAGATTCTTGGAAATTACCCCTGACTCTGTAATCAAAGGCTTTTCCATCCTATAGAGTTTGGACCCTATACAGTAGGATGCATCCTGTAAAGTAGATCCTATATAGTTCTGTCATCCTGACTCTGGCCCTGAAGTTGGCAAAAAAAATCCCACTACAAGTGAGGATATAGAAGCTAAATGAATAAGCTAGTCAATGCCAGAAACATTTTTAAACTCAGAGCTTTTAATTCTAATAACTGCCTATTAGAATTGATGCTATAAAGAATTTCTAAAATTACTTAAATTGAGGACATAACCTAAGGTTTTAAGTAATTTCTCGGGACACCATGTGTTAAACCAAATGTTTTCAGTTGTTTTTACCTGCCAAAACATGCATGGCAAGTGAGAGTGGTACCCGTATGCACATGCAAGCATGCACAGAATAAGCCCACAGGCTCCACAGTCAGGGCTGGTTTCACTAGCTATGACACTGAACACTTTGTGTAGTTTCTGTAAGCTTCCATCTTCATATCTTTAAAAGGAAGTTAATATTTGCCCCCATTTGTTGTTGAAGGTCAAGTGAAAAAATATGCCAGGCACCTAGTAAAACTGTAAATAGTATCTACCTGGCATATGGGCTATATGGCTCTTTGGGAAGCTACTGTAGTGTGAATGTGTGTAACATTATTAAAGGCCTAATCTTGAACTGTTCTGATATCTAAAAAACAGCCATATCCAATGACTAGTTACCATTCCCAGTTAATCATGACACCCCACTTGAACTCTACTGTCTTAGGTACTTTCTGGTAATATTACACTGTGTCCAGCACTGCCAGACACGAGAACATCAGGATTTAAGACGAGGTTCCCGGAGTAGTGTGCTCATTACTGTCAGAAGGTACCATTCAAGTACAGTCTGTGACAGTACACAGTATCCCTGCTTGTAATGGTGACTCTGAGATCCATAGCATGGAAAAATTGTCTCTGGACAGAGGAAAGGGAGAAGGGAAGACTCTAGAAAAGAGTTTATGGAGTTTGGAAAGTGTTTTAGGGTAACTGAGCTGCTAGTGGACATGCTCAGCTCCACCCTTCCCCATCTTCACCCAGCTTCTTTGGGACATAGAGCAAAGGGACAGTTCTAGGGCAGTAGCTGTGATTATTATGATGGAATTCAGAACATTTATTTTATAACCAAATTGGCTTAACTGTACTTAGCCCCTAAGTCTTTTTTTATGGATGTCTTTAAGCAGGAGAGTATTCTGTTGACTTGTATATAGACTTTCATGATAAGACCATAACCTTTTCTGAACTACTGTACATAAATTGGCACAGGTGGGAAAAAATTAAGGTTTTCATTTACTATGCAAGTAATATAAATAATGAAAGTAATATAAATAGTAAAAGCTTAAAAACCTCTTATGGAATCTCACTGTTTAATGCAACTTCAGACCCTGTTTATAACTTAAATGTGATGTCCACAGTTTGAACATCACAGAACAGGGCTCAGAGGCACTCTTTATCCCATTTTTATCAGCAATTCTGCCTCAGTCCGAGACCCCTATATTCCTGGTTGTGTGGTTTTCCAATGTGATTTGTTCTGCTGGCTCAGCTGTTCACATATGTTCCTAGGAACAGGTAGATAATACAGTCCTTGGGAAATGAGAGGACAGAAGGAAATCAGGCCAAGATTGGAAAAGGAGAACACAATATGCTGAAATTGAGCAGCACCCTTTACTCTCCTACCCTGGTCTTGCCTGTGTTTGCCACTCCCTCCCTTCTTAGCAGCACTGAGAAGGGAGAGGGGTAAATGATGCTGCTCATGCATTGACGATCTGACACCCCATTTGAAAACTATGTCATTAGGCTAAGTTTTAAAAAATGTTCATCCAGACCCTGGCCAGAGAGATGTCTGTTTTTCAGCTATGAGAGTCTATGCACAGTTCCTTATAGGGTTATGTTGGTATTTTGGACAAAGCAGTTCTTTTTGTGGACCATTGTGAACAATAAGACCTGTGTTTACCAACTCCTGCCATATACAAACAGCAATCTGCTGTGGTTGTGACAACCAAAGACACCCCTCATGGCTCCAGTCCCTCCTCCCCAGGAATGCAGTGCTGCTTTTAGTGAGGAATCTCACACAAAGGAGCCATCATAGTACAAACCAGAGAATGGGAAGGAGTGGGGAGAGGCACACCCAGAATGTGTGTGTCTCCGAGATTGGTATCTGCCTTCGGAATGTGCAGACAGGTAGCATAGTCCTCCTACAGGCCACACTAAATGAGTAACCTTATAAATTCCAGTATCAGAATAATTGAACCAAAATGGTAATACAGCTATAAAATAGTGCTTTAATAAACACACCATATTTATACCCATATAAGCTTTATTCTTGGAAAATAATATTGTGATATTGTTTTAGTGACCATAGGTCATAGATATTGAGCACTTACTATATGTGAGGTGCCATGTTTTTTCTCACTTAATCCTCACTAAGAGTAGCAGGCAGGTAGTTACTGTCTTTATTCTGCATATGTAGAAGCTACAGCTAGAGAATAAGCAGTTTTCCCAAGTGGTGGAGCTAGGATTGGCACAAGGGTCTGTCTGATAGCAGAAACTATGCTGCCAACAGTGGTGGTGCAGGGATTGGGTAGATGCTAGGATTTACAAGTCTTGAACAAAATGCAACCCCTAAATTTTAAAATAAGGTGAAGATTTAGCCTCACTTTAAAATAAATAAACACTAACGTAAAACATTAGCCAACTCCCAGATGACCACTCTAAGAAATGGCTTGGACATTGCTGAGGAGTCCAGGGTGCTTTGCAGATCCAGTCAGGTAGATCTGTGTTCTTTGGAAAATATGACTGGGCAGTGGTTGGTGAGGAGAAGTTACAACACTGTAATGCTGCTCAAATAGTATCTTAATAACAGGACCATGAAAAAAGATAGATTAGAGCAATGTTGATGAACCTATGGCAAGTGTGCTTCCACAGGCTGTTTGTATCATTGAAAGCTGTAAAAGGTTTGCCATCATAGGATTAGAGTATGCAAGGAAGATTGTGTAAGGTAAAGATTATCCTACTCCCATAAGTCAGTGTTCCCTTCCCCTCCCAGTATACACCTTAGATGAACTGGGTGCCCCAGGAGAACTGCTACACCGTGTTGACACTGCATAGTCACATCACCCAGCCTCCTGCTCTGACTCGCCAATTCCAGATGAACTTCTGCTACTAAGACTTCTACATAGGTTTCCGCACTGAATGACACATGGCACATGCAAAGTTATCTGCCATCCCTTGATTCATTCTTTATTAAACCCCTACTAAGTGTCTTCTTTCTACTCTTTCCCTCTGGCTCTAAAATTTTAACTTTAAATTGACCTGACTATATTCATTTATTCAGATAGAGGGGCTGGGGATTTAGCTCAGCGGCAAAGCACCTGCCTGGCAGGCGCAAGGTCGTGAGTTCGGTTCCCAGTACCGGAGAAAAAACCAACATTTATTCAGATAGTCAGAAATCCCATCCTCTACTTCATCTTTATATATGAAAGCCAGTGATACATATCCTTCTAATAGCAAAAACCATATCCTGGAGGACTGATGATTCAGGCATGTTACCTTCCAGACTAGGAGTGAAGTTTTATGTTATTTAGTTAATGGATTCATACTTGGGAGAAGAAAAGAGGTATATTCTCTGTTCTGTCACGTAGCTAGTACACAGGCCTCAGTTTTTATTAGTATTCCTTTTGCCCTGTGCCTGTGAGCAGTGAAGTGTTCTCCAGTCAACAAAGGTGTTGCTTCTGATAGCTTTGCCTATTTCTCCCTTTTTGACATTTGACAACTGATTTGTTTTTCTTCTTCTAGATGAAAGACTTTCGAAGTAAAATGCAATCAATATTTCCAACAATTCCCAAGAACTCCAAATCAGCTGTTGAGTGGGAGGAAGCGTTGAAATCTAAATGAGATGAGCACAGATGAATTCCAAAGCCATCACTGCGGAAAGGGCAGCTTCGGAGGCAGCACAACTGAAAAGGGACTGGGAGTGCTTCCTCCCTGGACTCATGCAGACTGTTGACGGCTTCAGCCTCCCCCTGAGCAGGCGGTCTTCCTCTGTGTCTGTGGCTGTGTTGGAGAGGGGCAGGTTTCCCAAAGTTAAGTATTTAAAAATAATTATTGGGGTAACTTCCACACGTGGAGCGATCCCAGAGGAAAATACTTCTGTTTATAAGAATAAACCATGTTTCATACCTTAAAAAAAAGTATATAGTAAAAGTCTGATAGAAAATCTTTATAAGTAGATCCTTACTGGCAGTAAAACCTCAGTGTATCTAAGTTAAGTTTTCAGAGTCTTTCTTGTCAATATACAACTGAGAATTTGGAAAACCTGTTCCTATTGGCCAGATTTCAAAGAGCCAGGTTCAGTGGTGAATCCAGTGCAGCAGGGAATGGTTCTGGATCATGGTCCTGAATGCAGGCTGACTCACAGCAAGCACACATGTGCCAGTTACTTACCTGCTGGTCTCATTGGGTGGCGCTATAAATTCTTACACTTGGGACAGAAAGCCAGTAACAGATTAGGATAACTTGAAAAGGTACAGCTGGGCTGAAATAATAATGATGATAATCAAGGGCATAAAAGACATTTTTTTGAAAATTGGTTCTGGGTCCCGGAACACTGACTATTTGTAGTTTTGTCTCAGTTGATGTAGTAAAAACAGCTCAGTTGTCACCTATATTAAATATTTTAAACCAGAAAGTCACCTGAGTACTGAGTGTCAATATTGTCACCTCCTGTTTAGTTAATTCTTATGTATCCAAACCTCTCATATACTCCATGATCTCTTCTAGAAAACAGATGGAGAATTATGTTTCTTTTTAAAAAATTTTAAAGAAGAAAAATACTTTTAATATGTTAGTATGGTCAGAGAAGTAACCTGTGATGGAAAATCAGTTGTGCAGTTTCTTTAGAATTGCTTAGGTTCTAATTAGTCAGCAATCAGGTTTAATAAAGTACATTTGAAATTTCTGTTATAATGAAACCTTTTAGTTTTAAGGAACAATTTTAAATGAAATGTCAAGTGCATAATGTAACATTTTTCTCTAGACCACATTACCCTGTTAAAATTGCCATATTGTTAATTAAACATGTGTAATCAGTGTCTGGAATCCACATGTAACCTGTTAAAAAGCTAAAACCAAAAGGAGAGGATTGTGAACTTTATCAGCATATGCGGGTAGCAAAAAACTCTTCACCCATCCTTCACTTTTAACTAAATCTCTGTGAAGAAAGTATTTCTGACCTGGGAATGTAATGAAGGAATTCAGGGACCAAAGTGAATTGTGTTTGAGCCCAGGCTTTCGCTAAGAGAATGGGTATAACCTACAACTATTTCTGTTAGGATCTTGATTTTTCATTTTCCTTAGATGGAGGTGGCCTATTGATTTTTAAAAGACCTCTCCTTGGTAGGAAAAAACAAATTCTTAGCTTGCTAGAGTGATAAAAGGAGAAATGGAGTCCTGCCTTGTAAGCTCCTTGAGGATAGGGACTCTCTCTCAGATCATGTGGTCTGTAGCAGCTCAGTCCCAGGAAGGAGCCAGTGTCATGGTAGGCAGGCCATGCTCCCAGGCCCTGGCACAAATAAGTCTGAATAAATGTGCACTGGAGGATTGAGTGCGTACTTGCTTGTGTGGTGTGCCTAATACTAACAGAACCCTGCTCTTATTCTTGACCTCTGTTGTCCTTGATAGATGGCAGGGGTCCAACTCCCATAGAAATGGTCAGAGGGAAGGGATGTAGAGGGAAATTTGATGGGGACAGCTTTCCTGATATAGGTACAAAGCATAGGCTCCAATTGCATTTTAAAAGCAAAAATAAAGTACCAAAGATGAAAATTCAAAGAGAAAAGAAGCAATGTGACTACATGGTGTTTTTCCACTGTCAGGACTCACATATCAGAAGATTTAGTCATTTGTCTATTCCTTTTATACCAGAGGCATATTGTTAAATTGGTTAATGGAAAGGAAAAATGTTTAACAGATAATGTTATTCTTTATGTGAAGTACCATCTGTGTATTGAGTTCTGAATGTTCCTGGATATGGAAGAGAAGAAGTGTTATGGAATTTCAAGTTTGCCTTCTTTGCTGTCTTTATCTTGGGTAGAGTATGACAAACATAATCACATTTATCTCCTGGAGCATAAAGAGTTTTAATCACCCTATTAACCAGGATGACATTTTTCACAGACTTAAAAAGGAATAGAACAGACATTATCTCCCCATAAGCAATCCATTTCATGGAGGCTGAGCACTAGAAATGCTTTAAAGGAGGGCTAACACTGCCATTTCCATTTCCTGTCTAAGCCAACATGAAGGAGGCTTTTGGGAAGGATGTGGCTTTGATTAGGTAAGTGTGAAGCTTTACCCTTACAATCTCAGTGTCCAAAAGAGCTGTCAAAGACAGCACACGAAAACATGGTGAGCAGAGGAGCGACTTCTGAGATCTTGGGATTCTTTTAAGGCAAAGTGTACATCCTGGTTAGTTATTGCTGCCCTGTAACACAGAACCACCAGCTGCTGGTTTGTTTGTTTGTTTTTTCCACCAGTACAAAACTATGATTTCTGAACAATCTAGGAAGGAAAATAGGGGGTGGGAACTGCCTCACCACGTGACTGCAACCTATCACTCAAAGAAACATGGATTCCAGTAGTATGGCGAGTGAGCAGATGTCCTAGCCCAGCCAGTTGGAGCAGGCCGTAGGTAATCCTCTATTACGTCCTCATCCCGACGTGGTGACACACAAAAGCTGCGCCTGCTCAGTCAAAAAGTGGAACCTAATCATCCTGCCTGTCATACATTGTGTTTGATTTCACAGATAGTATGAGACTGAGCTTACAAATGAATCATCACAACTTAAGGGGGAAATAGAAGAAATAACGGGGGCCCATAGGGACAAAAGTAATTAAAATCCATTGAATTTAGCTATTTCACTTGGGAAAAAATTTAATCTGCTAGATTTGGTTTGCAGAGAATGTTGTTTATTTTCACCTTACTTTGTATATCATTTTTAAAACAGATAGTTAAATACAGGTAAAATATAAAAGTATTTCTTCAAATAGTTAAACTTCCGATGAAATTTAGTAAAAATACATATTTCATAGCATTTTATTATGTTTAAGTGGGGTGTTTTCTTTTCTGCCAAAAGTCACCAAATGACACAGCAAGTATTTGGGATTCTGCTGGTGTCAGCAGGATTGTCACAGGCTGTGGTTTTGTGAGCACGGAGGAGGAGGAGGCGGCCAGCAAACATCTCTTACCAGCAGAGACACGAATCTTTAACAGTGAGTGAGGGTGGTAGCAAATTTTGTCTGATGGCAAATAACTCATTCCATTTTGGAGAAAATTAGAATCCCAGTTACCAGGAAGTACACGCAGTTTCAGTATTAGCAAAGTGATTTAGGACCCTAATTTATATTTCTTACATCAGCTGGATCGGGTCCTCTGGCTCATTACCATTTGATGAGGCATGATTATTACTTAAAAACGAACAATAGTAAAAAATGATCAAGTGCATATAATATGTAATATATTTAATATAATATACTTAAATCCATAAGGGTAAAAGTCATTCTTAATGGACTCTTCTAAGAAGCCAAATCAGGCAAACAAAAAACTTGGCACATTTCCTAACCCCTATAACCTGCTGGTCTGAAAATGTTACAAAAATCAGTCTTCACACTGCCCCTGACATCCCAAGCTTAGGGTGGTTTTCCCGGTTTGCAGCCTGATAGGTGATCCATCCAAAAGGGTGTCCAAAACATGTGGCTCTGGGCCTTTAGTTTCCAGCTCTCCAGCATACGTGTACTGCTTAATAAGTTGACAAAAGCTTGTAAAGGAAAGCTTGATGTTAACCCTCCTTATAGAATCATGCCCTGCTTTGGAGGTTGACCCTTTGCTCTACCAAGCCAGGTAATAAGAGTATGTTTATTTTATTACTACCAACTGTCTTCTCTACTTGCCCCTGTGGCAGTGGTTGAGTCCCTCTGTGTCATCCTTTGAGGGAGGCCCACACATTGGACATCCTTAGATGGAAACCATCCTAGGGTTACTGGGGTGAGCCAGTACTGCAGCCACCACCTGTGTCCTTGTTTCCCTTCAATCTATGGTGACTTCAGCTACTTGGAGATCTTCCTGTAGTTGAGATCCAGGCAGCAAAGTTAGGAATTCTAGTATAGTGAAATAAGACCTCTTGTCAAAAGATAAGAATTACTGAGGAAAAATCTTTGCTGTCAGCTTGCTTGTGGGCCATGCGTGTCTGCTTCCCTTTTCATAGATTTTTATTACAAATGATTATAGTAAAATATCTGTGGAAACAGCACATTATCAAGTGTCACATTATCAAGTGTCCTGGCTCCCTGTTTGAGTATGAGACTATTTTATGCAGCATAATCATTTCCCTGTAGAAAGCAGGTAGGTGGGACCACACTGTCTGACTTGGCTCTCCAGTGGTTGGTAAAGTTACACTTTTACCTACCAAGATGTGGCCCTGTCCATCAAATCCTCTTGCATCTCAGTTTTCTCTGTCTTTAGAAATAACTCTGCTTCCCAGGATGTTCCCTGGGAGCTGTGGAAATTTAAGCTGGAACTAGAATTAAGATAGATTAGCTTAACTTCTCAGTATTCCAAATATTACTGAAGGAGCAGGAAGTGAGGGCTGGGTTCAAAAGCTCTGGGTCAGGTGAGACCTTAAGAAATGCCTACATTCATCCTCAGGTTGTTCTTTCAGGGTCAAGACCCAGCCACAAACCTAGGCTGGAGGGCAGAGGGAGGGAAGGAAGCGGGGAGGAGAAGGAGAGGAAAGAGGATCCAGTATCCAAGCAGCTACATGTCAAGTACATCCAGGTCCTGGTGAAGCCACCATTTACATCTTCACTCATGCTGCCACATCCACTCCAATACTAAAGAGAATGATACATCACAATGATGAAAAATTAGTTTTTAATATTTCTTCCCCAGTGGGGTGGGTGTATGGAGTCTTCTAACCCCTAGGTCTGTGACAAATAGTTTAAAAGTTAAAAGCCATCAGGTTTGATCCTAACATTCATGAATCCTGACCTGCCAAACAAGAATAAACAGATGAAGATCCTTATATGTTCTTCCAAGTGACCTTGTATGCCACTAAGGAGTAAGGCAGCCTTGCCCAGCCCCCTGGCCTCTGAGGGTTCTCCCTGAGAGCAGAAAAACTCCCTGAGCCTCATTTTGAAACTCTGCTCTTCCCCTATATTGTATTGGCAAAACCACCTAGAACTTCTCTGGAGTAGAGCGTTTTGTTTTATTCTCTAGAGAACACGAATTGAAATTTTACTCTGAGAGTACTTAGGATCAAGAAGGGCACCCAGGAATACCTGAACCAGGCTACCTGGTCACAAAGTTGTTAGTCAAATAAATTAGACAAATGAACCAGCCATCTGATTCCTTTGAAACTAATACGCCCTACAAAGACTAATAATTCCACCCAATCTCCCCAATTTGTGCACTTAATGTAAGCCTCAGCATTATATCTCCCTCACTAGTCACTAAATCACTCTGAGCTGAGTGCCATCACACATTAATTACCCAGCATGACAAGCCCCCAGGTCACCTGGCTTCCTGGGTTGTGTCTACTGGGAGGCAACAGGAGTTGTTAGGAAAGTTCAGCTGCCAGGTTAATATGGTCCCTTCCAGTGTGGGATCCACACTCCGTGCCTGGGCAGTAAGGACTAAAATTAAAACCAACTTTCTCAAAATACACCGCAGGCTGAGAGTCTGCTAGACCCTGGGCCTCCCTGACCGGGCAATGGCTTTGCTTCCCGTGGCTCCAAACTCCTAAATTACTAGCTCAGTAAGTGTTCAGTGGCTCCAGAGCAATGCAAATCCAAGGCTTGGGGCTGGGTGCCCAACGACGCTGTTCAGCAGCGATATCCAGTACAGGCCAGCGACAGCCAGGCCGCAGGGAGGCAGAGACGGTTCCAGGAGCTCGGTCAGCCGGATCTTTGGGAAGCTTTAGCTCCAAGTGCTGCCCTAGAAAACATCAGGGTTCCCCTGAACTCTTCCTGGACCTGGAGCAGATATTTCCAAATCTTATTTATTTTCATACCCATTGTAATAGTCTGTTCAATTCTCTGATTCACCAATAAACATTTCTCTGCAACTTAAAGTACTTCATAACAAGCCCACCATTATCACCATTTGAACAGCTCTTCACAGCACGTGGCACCTGTGCAAGCTGGCAGTCTGCCCCGAGCCCCCCTCTCCACCCCGGCCTCCAGGTCTCCTCCAGCGCCGGCCTCAGCCCCCAGCCAGGACCCCCTCCACCCAAAGGCACACTACTGACAGCCAGGGTGACTTCAGGCAAATGATGCTGTGCAGGCCGTTGCCTTCAGCTCTAAAATGGGCACAGGAGCTCCCACGTTACCATGTTGGTAAGAGCGCTGAAGGAGATAAAATGTGTGACGCAGTGGGCAACTCGACGGGCCTTCCTGCCTGGTGCTGCCATACTGGAGTTGAGATTAGTCAGGTAGCATAGACCCTTGTGCTCTGGGGTCCCTGGTGGCCCATGAGGTTGCCCAGTGCCCTGAGCTGCTGTAGCTGGGCCAGGGGCCACAGTCTGACAGTCACTGCCCTATTCTGTTCCCTTCTCTGACGATAGTGCTTGCTATCACCATGTCTGTCCCAGGGATGTGTCGCACTGACAGCCCACCGGCTACCATATCAACCTTCTCAGGCTTCTGTGACTCACTGCAGACTCACTTTTCCCAGTGAGTGTGTTCAGGGCGCTGACATTACATCAGACGACCCACACCCTGGGTACTCCACACTTGGTCTTGGGTGTGTGCAGGACCCTCACTTTCATCCAGGCATCAGAGGTGGGGGAGCCAGACGGAGGGCACTACTGCCCCAGTGGATCCCCCTGCGAGCAAGCCGAGCAAAGGGACCAACAGCAGAAGACCCTGAAGACTGGTTGTGGAGTCCATGTGAGTGAGCATATAGGTGGCCTGCGGGTCTCAGTCCACAGGTGGTCACAGAATCTTAGCTGACTGAGACTCTGGTGTGGCTCATGACCCTGGGAAGCCAGGGGACAGTGCAGGTGA